GGCTCCGGGGGGGCCCCCCCCAGCCGGTGTCCCGGGGGGGGGGGCACTGCCCTGGCTGTCCTCTCCTCTCCCCGGCCCAGGGACCCCAGCATCCCCCCCCCTCCTTCCCAGCAGAGCCCAGCCCCGTTTCACCCTTCAGGCCCGGTGCCCTGCTGTGAACTGCAAACGGTGGATGTGATTTTAGCTCTATGTCTGGCCTTAAAGTTACGGTATATATATTTAGGATGCACACACACATATATGTGCACTGACATGTGAACTATGGGCACCCCTTAGGTGCATGTTGATCTATACATCCCCCAGCCTCTCCTGATACGCGTGTGCGCCTGTTCGCTGGCATGTATGTACAAATCTATAAATTCATGTGCGTATAAAAGCTCACATCCCTCCGTCTATATGCACATGGAAGATGAAAGGTGGCTGCTTGGTCGCTGTGCGTGAACACAAGCGGAGATGTTCTAAAATGCGATGCAATCATGACGTCCGGGGCGAAGGGGATTTCAGCTCATCATAAAAGGCAGAGGAGCTTTTATTTATTTATTGCTTCGAATGGTCATTTCGGTGGGGTCTGGAAAAGATACGTCAAGTCGTGTACACAGAATTGAGGTGGTTGCTGGGGAAGGAGCAGGGAGTAAAGGCAGACGACGAATCACTTTTAAGTTACTGTAGGCTTTGAAGGGACAATGAGTGTCTGTTATTTTAAAAGGTTTCTCTCTCTCCCTCCCTCCCTCCCTCTCGCTTTCTCCCTCTCGTTTTCTCCTTCTACCACACAGTTTCCTGGCAACTGTTTACGTCTAGACTAGGGACATTTTCTCGAAGAAAGTGAGATGCCCAGGGAGTATTTTAAAAAAAAAAAAAAAAAAAAGTTTCGCTCTTTTGACCGGCTGCAGCCATGATTAACTTGTTCCATGTTGTAATTCCCAACATCCCCCCAGCATTCGCCTTCCCCCTTACATGATCCGTCTCGCCTTTTCCTCTCCTTCTCCCTGCTTTCCCAATATTGTTTGACCAACAGCCTCCCCCCTTTCCCCTTCCCCGGGTTTGCTTTCGCGGAAATACTTCGGTCTGGATTTTGACTCCCCCAATGTCCCTCTCCCCCCGCTGCTTTCCCCTCCTTCCCCCTCATCCCCCCCCTCCTTTTTTTTGTTAATAATTAGCTGCACTCTTTAATGGAACAATGGTAGATTATTATTGCTTCTTTTCAAAGATCCCATTAACAAGGTTATTATGCACTGCTCGGGAAGTCAGGTAAATTAAACTTAAATTGCTGGAAATTAAGTTTCAGGCGGTTATACGCGGGGAGAGCGGGTATTTCTTTACACCTTCAGGGATCATTGTTTTAAATACTCCAACCCTGGAACTCTACATGGCTTTGTCGGGCTTTTTTTCGGAGGTGATTTTGGCTGTGGGTGAGCATTACAGAGGAGGCTTCTCTGCTGCCAATGGCTTTCTATGTCTGACTCCAGGAACAAGGGGTTTTTTCAAATGTTTTCGTGGTGTTGGCTTGACTTTATGGCTGCAATAAGTCCCTCGGTAGGGAAACCCCCGCTGTGTTCTCACTTCAGAAGGATCGGGAATTCCAGCTCCACATGAAAAAAAAAAAAAAGAGTTTCATTTTTTATTGGAACCAACTGCACTGAACTTCCTACCAAGTTCTTAGCGGGTTCAGCTTTCACACAAGCAATGCTCTGTTCTGTTTGCGTTTCGAAATATTTGGGTGTTGTTTTAATCCCCTCATCTATCTGCCTGGCTCTGCTCGGTGGGGTTGGCGTTTGCTGGCCAGAAAAGCAAAGCGACAAAAAGCCGGTCCTTCCTTGGGCAGAGTGCTGGGGTTGTACATACTGTAAATACTTCTCTTTATCTGTATTTACACCCTGCCAGTTGAGTGATGTCTGTCAGGAGGGGAAAGCCGGCTTCCCAGCGCAGTGAAATGTGTTATACCACCTCTCTCGCAACTTCCCCGCTTTATTGCTCCTTGTTAGCAAACCCTGCGCCTGTTTTCGAGGAGATGGAGCCAAAGACTGAATAAAGATGTGCCCATCGGTGCCCTCAAAGACGGGTCTAACTTAAGGGCTACTGTATAAGCTCACTTCTGCAACCGGTATTGCTCTGTGTGTGTCTCCCTCCGGCTGGGCTGGCGCTAGAGGCGTCCAAAGAAAATATATTCACAAAATCGGTCTGAGTTTTACCTTCGGACTTTAGCGGGGAAGGCAGGAGAGCGTCAGTTAAACGGCTACACTAATAACCCAACATTTAAATTCATTTTTTTCTTGTAAAGCTATTGAACTGGGAATAGAAACCACCTCTGTGCTAAACATTCCGTTCTCTGAGATTTAGTGCGGTTTAAGACCTCTGCTCGTATTTACATGTATTATAGGTGGCAAATCAATTAGACCGCGGGCCTGACCCTCCGGAAGATGAAAACTATGACAGGCATTGCCTTTTTTTTTCACGTTGGGAACCAAGTTCTCTTATTTTCTTTTTCTCCCCCAAATAACCATGTGTAGTCTCATCCTCCTTCTAAGAGAGGACACTATTCTTTTTTATTTATAGCGCGACTAAGATGTCAGCAATAAGCAATTAGCAAGCGGTCAGCTTCAATTAGCGCATTTTTATTCTCTTTTAAATGTCGGCTGTCAAACTAAGTAAAAAGCCCGTTTTAGCCACAAAGGTACTAGGATGAGTAGTATTTTAATATGGTAAAACTGGGGAGGGGGATTTTTTCCAAACAATTTCGAGGGGTTTATTTGCAGAGCAATCGCAAGAAGTGAGAGAAAATATTAGAGCAAACATTTTCAGCAGATGTACTCACGCATTGAATTATCAGGACATCCCATTTCTTAGCCCAAAATTTGCATGCGGAGCTGATCATGTCAGATAATCGCTGGTTTTGCAGAGCTACAAATATTGTGTAACTCTATCAAACGTATGAGCTGTTCGGCTCCTGCAAAGCAGTTAACTTCAGGCTCTCATCCCAGCCTTTTTTTTTTTTTTTCTTCTCTAGTCATCGTTCCCTTTCAATCTCCTTTTTCTTTTTCTTTTTTTTTTTTTTTTTCCCTTGCATACCAATAAAGCCGATCTACGTAAGTTTGGGTCCATTCCATACACAAAGGGAAACTCTGCAAGAACAAATATAAGAGATATCAGTCAGAGAGGGGGTGGAGGATGGAAAACTACTTCCTTTGCATGTTATTTCCTTGAATTATAAGGATTACGTTTCAGTCGAAATGTTCATTGCAGCCGTGGCATGAAACAATCTTGGCTTTGCTGCTGTAAACATGATGTTTAAAATAAATTAGCTTGTAATAAGATACTAGTTTCGTAGATACTTAAAGCTCCGTCAGAGAGAGCCGCATTGGCAGCTCTACAGTCACCATGTAATATATGTAATTCTAGATTTGTAGCACACACATTCACAGATTCAAGTACAGGGGAGTGTGTATTATAAGGCGTGTCATTTCATTGCATATAAGACCCGACAGACAGATGGCTACAAATTCGGACAGGAAGCAAACCCTTGACAAAACGCGAATGATCGGAGGACAGTCCTGGCTTTAATTTAGGTTTGGTTTGGTGGGGTTTTTTTTGTGTGTTTTTTTTTTTTTTTTTCCCTGGGAGATCGCTCTGTTTTTCCCTTTGGGAGAAAAAAAAAAAAAAAAAAAAAGGGGGTGGGGGTGGTGAAGACGGCGATCAGAGATCCATCTCTACCTTGAGCAAATAGGGTTCTGAGGGGGGGGATGCACCAGGTAGAGCATAGCACATCTCTGGCGAGGAAATCCGGGCAAACCGTAGAGAGGCGAACCCTAGAACAAAGTGCAGCTTTTAGGGTGGCCGGGAATTGCCTGAGACTTTCGGACTTATCCCTTCCATCCTTTGAACTTTGCAAAAATAGGTATTTTGTAGCGGGGACGGGCTCAAAGAGGGGTTTGGTGTGTGCAAAACCGCGGGGTCTCTGCGCACCTCCAAGGCGGCAGCCCCGTCACACCGCCAGCTTTCCTCTCGTTAAAAAAAAATAATCTCTATCGGTAACAATCAATAAACTCAGCTTTTGACCGTAACCCAAGGTTTCCTTTTAGCCATAAAAGGTCGGGCATAGATTTGGTATTAACAAAAAAACGCAAGAGGGCACAATGCGGTACCGGACTCCGGAGGACATGAGGATTTAGCAAGGGATAAAGGAAATACTTCGATTTTCCATTTATCTCCCGAATACGGAGCTTTTGCAGAAAAAAAAAAAAAAAAAAAAAAAAAGAGAGAGAAGGGAAAAAGGGAAGGTTTGGTTGACGCAAGCGCATCTTTCCCGACAAGGCAATGCTAATCTATGGTAATTAGATAAACATGAACCGAAATAAGTTGTCAAAACAGACTTCTTCTCCTATAGCAAATCTAAGTTAATCAACCAGACGGGATCTCCTCCTTGCAAAGTTCACACACAAAAACTTTTTTTCCTTTTTTTTTTTTTTTTCCTTTAACGCAGTTAAAGTACCCAGACATTTCAGGACGATGTGCAAACACTAGGGGTTAAAGTTTTCCGAATGCGAAGAATTAACTTTTTTTTTTCCCCCCCACTTCCAGAGGGCATTTGTATACGTTACATATGTGTAAATACATATAGGCGCGCACACCGCCATCGGTGCAGACGGGCTCTCGCACACCCCCGCGCAACGCGTTTATTTATTTATGAAGCTCCGAGCGCGCCGGGAATGTTTCTTTCGGCAGATATTATATATTTGGTTAAGGGGGTGCACTTCTGTTGTTTAAAAGGAAGGGAAGAGGGGGTGGATGGTTTGTTCTTGGGGTCCCTGGTGCAATCTCAGCTCCTCATGGGTGCTATTTTGCAACCTCAGGCGCCTGCTATTGGTCAGCCCATGATCAGATGGTTGTATTTCCTTGTGTCCCTCGCTGGCACCACGCCATCTCCCTTCAGCTAAAACCCAATCTCCGATATACTACTAATAGCTAAACCACTTGGACTATAAAACACAACAAATCATAAAGCCGGGAAAGGACGGCAGGCTCCTTCCAATGAGTTCTTATTTTGTCAACTCGACCTTCCCGGTGAGTCTGGCGGCGGGGCAGGAGCCCTTCCTGGGACAGATCCCGCTATATCCCTCGGGCTATGCGGATCCTTTGAGGCACTACCCCACCACCTATGGAGCCACGGGCGTCCAGGAGAAGGGCTATACCTCCTCTCCTTACTACCAGCAAAGCAACGGAGCCTACAGCCGCAGCTCCCCCTGTGACTATGGGGGGCGGGTTTTTCAGGGAGAAGGACCCTGCGTGCGGCCCCCCCAGCCTGGACGAGGTGCCCTTCGCCCCCGAGCCGCGCAAGTCGGACTGCGCGCAGAGCAAAACTGTGTTCGGAGAGAGCGAGGAGCAAAAGTGTTCCGCCCCGGTTTACCCCTGGATGCAGCGGATGAACTCTTGCAATAGTGAGTTTACTCTTTTACAGAAATAAATACATCAATCTCCTCCCCCCCTTTCTTATTTGTTACCGCCAGAGAGAGAGAGAGCGAGCGAGCGAGGGAAGCAGGAATAAGGTTCACTTTAGAGCCCAAACTTCCAGCGGGGAAGTTAGGCGACACGAGAGGCTCCAACTTGCTCCTTGACACGCACCAAAACTTCACGCCGCTGAAGTATTTTCCCTCAGCAACCCCCCCCCCCCCCAGCCAAAAAGTTTGCTCCCCATTTAAACCCCCAGACAGTATTTCTTCATTCCCCCCCC